GTTTCCCACTTTCACAATGAACTGAAGAGTTGACTAAAGTCCTACTATTTTCAAAGGTTGTATAGTCTCACATACATTGAATAATATTTTTTAACATCGCGAGGAACCTTAGTTTTATACTATACTTTCTAATTATAAGTTTGAAATTGTTAACCCGCATTGAGCAAGTGTGGTGATTAATCTCAAAACTTCTCCATGCGAGAAAAGGCCTTTTGTCAGCAGTGGGCACTTATAGGCTGTTGATGTGATGTGATAGACATCACAAAGGTCTCCGAGTTGTTTGCAGTGTCCTAGTTCTAGTATTCAAAATTTTAGTAAATTAGTATTTTACAAATAGATAAAAGACTAATAGAGCAATAACGAATACTTAGTATTTATAGAATAGTCACTTGATAGAAAACCTTACCTGCTCTAAATTTAAATTAAAATATTCCAGTTATTGCTTGATTAATATTAGACTAGAAACAATGAATTTTGTTAGCCAATTCATGCGGTCTAGTAGCTCAGGTATTTAGTGAACATTGTAATTTGAGAGCATAGCAAGTTGCAATAGATTTGTATTTCATATTTCACCCACATATGAGTAGCTATTGGAATTTCATCGTGTGATAGTTCCAATATTTTGGACAAGAGCACTTACTTAATGGGCTTCTGTCAATACTTTAAAATAAGCTGCGATGAAACAACGCTAGGTACCCTAATGCTTGAATAAGCACCTACAGTAAATACAGAAAATGGCGCCCACATTCAATTCGAGCATTTTCGATCACAGAAAATGTTTTATTTTTGGCAACAGTTCCATGGTATCACTTAATTGAAGCAAAAAGAGAATTAGTAGCTATTCACGATAAAGTTGATTTTTCTATATCATCGACGGAATGAATTGTCTTACATGTGGTGGGGTCTCTTCTAAAGGAAAATTCAATGGCCGAAGCCTTTAAAATAATATTTTTACGATATTTTCTATTGATGATCATAATTATGAAATCAAAATAATAACCTGTGACAATTCTCTGCTATGTACTATGTTCTTCCTCTATTTTAGATGGTTATCACTATCTCCAAGTTTCGCGGTTCAGGTTGGCTAAACAGTTGGCTAAACCTTGGGTGACAGGAAGAACTGACTACGAGGACATATCTACTGCTTTATTCAAAGCGTGTGTTCGCTTCAGGTATGTGGTACAGTGAAGGAATGCATGCCACAACTAAAATACGACTCTAAAAAGTTGAACAATACACAGGAATAAAATTCTAAAGCATTTTTTACAAATAGACGCCTCATGCATCAAATATTTGATCTATGTATGATTTTCTATGAATAATAAATCGAGATTGTAGTAGATTTTTTATTTTCGTTAAACATTACTTTGTAATAACACAATCAGTTTTACCATTGAGGTATGTCTATAATCGTGTTGTCCTGTATGAGGAATATTTTTTATAGTTTGCAAATATAGGTTAGGAATAATCATGAAGGTATGCCTAGAATAGTGTAACTAAATAAATAAACCCGTTATCGGTTCCTATATTGAATTCCATTTAAATCAATGAAACGTAAACACACATGTATAAAGACCAATACTTTTCGAATACCAAAATTTTCACTTTGACATGAACCTTTACTTAACCAGAAATTTATTAAAATTAATTGATAGTCAACAAATCGTGTTTATAATTAGGGAAAATATTTAAAATATAACACACACAGCAACCGCAAAAAATATTTGCCTGGTTCAATGTAAATGCGTCTGGCTGACAAACATTGACCATTCATGTAAATTAATCAAAAAAAAATTATTATTAAAAAAACAAAATACCCGACTGCACACTAAAAAAAGAGTAAAACAAGCCCCACAATAATATTGATCAATCAAATGCTAAAAACTAATTATGTAATACCGTTTAAACAATACCTATATTAAAATACACTACAATATGTGTTCGTAATCGATAGTTAAATAAACAGAAACTTATTTTGAATACAAATTTACTGAATATAATTTATAAATGTTGATGGAAAGCATCGCAGGCGGGGACCACCTTGACCGCCACCAACGAAAATTCTGCTAAATGGTGCACAACCGAAATGACTATAAATAAGCCTCTGTTGGTCCCCGCCTGCGATGCATTCCATCAACATTTATAAATTATATTCAGTAAATTTGTATTCAAAATAAGTTTCTGTTTATTTAACTATCGATTACGAACACATATTGTAGTGTATTTTAATATAGGTATTGTTTAAACGGTATTACATAATTAGTTTTTAGCATTTGATTGATCAATATTATTGTGGGGCTTGTTTTACTCTTTTTTTAGTGTGCAGTCGGGTATTTTGTTTTTTTAATAATAATTTTTTTATTTATAACTTTTTAGCTGTTTTTATTTCGATATATACAAATAGGGATATATCGAATAAAATCGCTATTTAGAGACGACCGTCAACGACGTGTGCCCTCATGCGTGTGCCCGCAATCGGGCTGTATACTCGAGCATATCCCCCTCCGCACCGCGCCGCGCGCCGCATGCCAGGCCACGCCCTATCTTTTTGCTTGCTAACGCATGAGTTGCTTTGCGTTGACGCAGAATTAACATGTTCCCGTGGGAATTTTGAGAAAAAACGTATCCTATATTAATTACTCCCGTGATTGAAATGAATCTAATGATACCGCATACATATTTTTTTAAAGGGAAATTTAGAAAAAATATTATTATGTCTTTATCCCGTGGGACTTTTAGGATAAAATGTATCCTATGACACTCCCGTAATCAAGACAAATCTAACGATACCTCATACATCAAAATCCATCAAGCCGTTTAGGCTACAGGTGGTCACAAAGGAAAAGACATACATACATACTTACATACACTCGAAAAACATTACCCTCCTTCTTTGGCAGTCGGGTAAAAACAACTTTTCACATTTAAATTGTCAAACACCAAGCGGTCACCAGTGACCGCAACCTGTTGTTCTATAATTGTGTCTATAATGACGGTACTCAACGAGTTAAGAGTGAAATCTGATATCCCATTTTTGAGACGGAATTGTTTACTGACGTGAAATCAACATAAACGGGTAGGAGGATGCAGGTAGCGAGTTGTCGTTCATCGTGGACGACTAAGGGGGAGGCCTTAGTCCAGTAGTGGACGTCTTTCGGCTGTTGATGATTCAATTATTATGTTTTCGTCGATATTCTGACGACTTGATCAGTAGCAGCGAGTCACGAAATGCTGCTCATTAATATGAGCCTCTAGCATAGCTACTGAAACTAGTCGAGTTCCTCGTCAAATTATTACGTGAGTAAGCCGAAAACATAATAATTTATTTAGTGTGTCTCACGAAAGTTACAATACAAATATAACGATGATGATGAAATCAAAATAAACGTTGTTTAATAATTCGAGTAAATAAATAAAGTTTGAAAACGACACATTGTTACATTGTACGTGAATGACGGTAGCATTCGGAACAAACATTATTGTAATGCTTAGATGATATTCCATAAGTAATTCTGTGAAGCCTTGGCATTGGGGCTGTAAGTAGTGTCTTCTTGAGGCCTGCCACCCATAAGACGAGATTTCATGGTTCATATCCTATAGAAGTCTAGTATCGAAGCACCCGTGGAGACCCTTCGTCTGGAGAGGACGAGAAGCATCCATTAGATTTGTAAACCGTAATGCGAGGCGACTGCCTCGTTGGCCGAGTGGACGCAATTGCGACTGCCGGTCAAGGGGTCTCGGGTTCGATTTCCAGGTCGGGCAAAATATTATTGGGTTTTAAAAAAATCTCAGTAGTAGCACGGAGTCTGGAATTGTGCCCGGTATATGGCAATAGGCTCACCCCTATTACATGAGACTCATAACATAAATAATGAAAAGTGGATGTTACATTGTACAGTGGCATAATGTGCACCTCTGTCTATCCCTTCGGGGATAAAAGGCATGATTTTATGATGATGATAGTGCGAGGATGTAAAATGAACATACTATGACCTCGTGCACATAATTGTAAGGAAAATTATATAGTACATGGTATTCTAGTTAGAAAAAGTCTAAACAACTATCGAAGTAGTTTTGGAGTTCCTTTGCCTGAAGACGGTGCGATGACAGGGTATTACAGGATTTGAATGGATGAAAATAAAATCTCCGAAACGTGCGAATTATGTAGCACCTATACGTACGTAACTCCCGGTCTAATAACTGCATTTGTAAAATCGTGTAGGATAAGACTTATGTAAAATAAAAAAGATTACAAATTTATCAGGAAAGGGAATACACCAATAAAGCGCGGACGAGCAACTAGTTGTAAATATATAACGCGTTCCGGAATCAAAAGAAATATAATACCAAAAGGAATATTTAATACAACGGTGTCATACAATATTGGTAGCTGGAAAGAATATTAGCGGAAATGGATTTTGTTGGAATTGATTTCAGTTGCAGTGTCCAGTAGTGATACTTTGATGGGATTATATCTTTTGTATTGAACATCCCTTGTTCGGAGCACAGAGAAGTAATCCTAAGTGGTACAAAATTGTTACTGAAAACTACAATAGGTTATTTCACGAGTCATTTCGCAGTATTTTGTCAAAAGAGTTATTAGTTGAATCAGATAAAAACGTTTTGTTTAGACTTTAATCAGTGTTCGAGCTTTATTTTGGTACATTTTAGTTAAACTTGCCTTCAAATTTCTCGGTACAAATATTTAGGCTTTTTGTGTTACTATGTTAAATTAAGGTCCTTTTTTTATTTAGTGCCGTCAAAGAACTTTTATTATTTTCCATACTTGAATAAACTATAACAACGTTAAAATAAATTGATCGGTCAGTCAGTCAATAATTAAAGCCTAACTGCATTTGTAAGCCTATATTCGCAAGGAAAATAACGAAGTCTCCGTGTCTTTTCTCAATGTATAGATAAATAGAAAACTATCAAACAATTGTCTTTTTTAAAAGTAATTGCTAATTTCAGTAAGGTACAATAATTAGATTATGTACGTACCCAACGGTCTCTCCAAGGTTTTGCTCGGTGTCCGAACAACGGGAAGGGAAGATCTCTGCTTACCACCCCTGCGGAACCCAGTCGAAGCTGTTTCAACTTCAGACATGATGCCAGGGTCATCGTCGAAGAGTAAATTGTTCGAAGGTGGCGGGTAGCGCGCAATCGGAGGCTGCAACAAAAGCTATATTACAGAAACGAAAATAGATGAAAATGCCATCTTACCCCATTTTTACAAAAATATACAGGACCTTCTTCACCCATTAGATGTTAGTAAGAAGTTTATACCATATGTCAAAGGTTAATTAGCATAACTAACATTTGCATCCATTAAGAGAAATCATAATCCATATCTAATACCGAATGTATGTCGAACTAGAACTCAGTTGAACAACTTTCTTGTCACATTTACGTAGGTAATTAGCGTTAATGTATCAAACAGAAACATATATAGGAGATAGTAAATATATTAATTTACACAAAGATAATGCATCCAGCATTGTTGCTACTATAGCATGGGAATCCATTAATGGAAATTAATCAAATGATTATGATCGCCAATGCTTATCTTCAAAGGTCCAATCCGTTGCAAGCAAGCAAGATGATTAATGCTCAAACGTCCTCCGTGTGAGAAGAGGTTTGCTCAGCTATAGGCTCTTGATGTAATATACATACATATGTGATATATCGTCAAAGGACGTTGAGAATGGTGTTGCTTGCAAGTAGTACCTACAACTACATAAAGGATATGTCAGCCTGAGCAGGATATAAACATGCTCGGGTTTGCAAAAGGATTTACGACTACCACGAAGTTATTTGATGCATGAATTCAAAGAAGATCATAAAATGTTATTTTTCACAGAGACCCCTCATCTAGTTCCACAACTAAATGAGACCACAAATTAAGTCTTACATGTATCCACATATTTTTGTATTTAGCAAAAAAACACACGAGTGCGGAATGAGCTTTGAAAAGAAATAAAATTAAATATAGCCACGAGGAATATGGACAGAAAAACTGGACGTTCAATTTTTACTTTGTGGGGAATGAAATATTTAGTGATATGCAACGTTCAGAATATTGCATAAAACTGACAGAGCTGAAAAATGTCTGATATTTTTGAATAAACCAACGTTTCCGCTACAGAAACGATCCGTCAAATTATACATCTAACTTCCGAAGTTTCGTATCCAAACTCCTTTCAATATTAGTTATGAAGATAATAAACGAATAAACAACAGAACAAAAGTACCAGGAGAATATAGATTACAAACAATCATTCAAAAGTATTCAAAACTTAGACTCAATGTTCAAGTCTCTCCGATACAAGGTATAAGATCAATGAGAACCGCGGAGTTGCGATCTACGAAAGTTCGAGAATGCAGCCGTGGATCAAGTTACGGAGAGTTACAACAATAAGATACTTGTTTTAAACTATTTCCGGGTTTAAACCATGTTATCTTGATGTTATGTATGTGTGAGCTAGCTCCTGCGATGATATCATACTTATGGACTAATACAAACCTTTCCTAACTTGTATAATTATTGCACACACTACTTTTGATCAAAAAATAAATAATGTTTTCATAGGAGAAGCGAAAATTAGTAATATTAATAGCACAACTTAAATCAATGTGAGAGATTTAGATGGAACAGTGGCAGTGGAGTGACAAGCAAAGAGAAGTAACAGGCAGTGAAGATTGACAAAGTAAAATTAACAAGCACACCGATAATATCTGCGTGTATTAGTTTTGTTCGAAACTTCATCTTCGTTTCAAGTGAAGAATATAGTTTTGTTGTTATTTATATGAATGTTATTAGTGATAACAACATCGAAATTGTGGTAATTCACAAATAATACCTTCTTATTCATTCTGAGGTCTACGATCCTGCCTGTGTGATCACGAAGTTTGTTGATCGTAGCATATTCTGGTGGATTCATCGGCAGACGGGCTGAACTGGGATGCTAATACAAAAAGAAATGTGAAAGAAAAAAAGCAGGAAGATCTTTGTCACCTACTTAAAATTGAACCTTGCAACTAAGATACAAAATAATAGGAAATTCTAACGTTGTCATTAGTTTTCCTCAAAAAAGTTTAATAACTATTTTTACGCTAATTAACAAAACAAAGCTAAAAGAACAATCAATAGTTTTTTCAGAGAACTATTTGCTAATGATATGTTGACTCTCCTGCACCAGATGAATTGTTTGAGACTGGATCTTACGACAGATTTTAATAAGAAGAGTGTTCATGTCCTTTTCGGGTAAAGGAACATTTTCGACCCCATGTTATAATCAGATCTGGTTAGTGAACCAGATGAACAGTCTCATCTCATTTAACTTGAAACCTAGATCAAAACGAAATCTCAAACTAAACGTCTTCATGTGAACTTACCTGCATTTCGATGGTAACATGATCTTGTGGGTTGTGAGGGTACAACAGCAGTTGGTTGCCAGCCAAGGTGTGCCGACGAGGATCGTCCCGTCGAGAACTGCGCCCGCGAGACGGGATCCGACTGGCTTCACCGTCCGAAAGGCCACCTAGAAGAAAATAAATTGTAAGAACTCAAAAAGTAAATGTAGAAGATTTCAAATTACACAGAATCTACTTATACAGGTAAGTGATAAGTGGCTTTAGGATCAGAATGATATTGAAACATAGCACCATAATTTATCGGTTGATGGTCTAACCTAAATAACTAAAAGAGAAATTGATAGACATGTTAAAGTTTTAGAAGTGCGGAGGTAATGGGTGTATAGACACTAGATGAAAGGATGGTGAGAATAAATAATTGAAGTCACAGTTTAAGTTCCATTGTTTGTCGACGATCCATGAATTTCTGACAATGTTTAAACTGTTCAAACATCGTCACGCTTTTTCCTGCTTCCATGTTAGTCCTCTATTCTTCTTCGTTACGTTGAAGCTAAAACATAACACACATCCACGTATTAATATTGAGTTATTTAGCAATACAAGAATAAAAAAGCAAAAATTACTAAGCTTCCAAATACAAGTACCTACATCTCCTTTTTACCAAGTTATACCAAGCAGTTAGTTACAACGCTTTGGATTTTCCATTATATTCTTGACTTAAATTTTTACATAATAAATTCCTGGATGGAGTATTTCTTATATTGATCTGTAAATATTTCCTAGGTAAAATGTGATCGTGAAAGTTTGAGGAAAATTCTAAGATCACCTCATTGATTTGACTGGTCATAAACCCATAGATTTTATCCATTATTTTCTTTATTGATCTTAATCAATTTTGGATAGGGCATTGTTGTCATCTTCGTTAGTATTATGTGTATAGTAATTGTTATAATATTATTCATAATACAGTGTAGGTAGGTAATAAAACGACATTCATTGACACGTAGAAAAGAATTTAATATTTAATGATGTCTACAGATGAATTACATTTAATTACGTATAATATAACATCTAATTCTAAAACCATTGTCGGTAAAATTGCTTATACAATGCGGTGGTATGGAATAAAAATGACAGCATGTTCGGCGCAGTGGCTATGCAACGCGTCGTGGGTTTGATTACCGCATAGATAACACATATTTCACATTGATTGAAGATGCTGTAGATCTAACTGATGTTATGAGCTAAATTCCATTTAAGGGCTTGTTTACTGAGAAAGTTGAAAGTTCAAAGTATAGGAATGCCACTGAATTGCGTCAATCTCTTGTATTGAGCATTTTACTCTCTTTGCAGACAAGTGGTAAATGGCATTCGACACAAAGCAGACATTTGATTTTTGCTACATAATTTTATTTGTTATATTCCATCCGAAATGTGTTAAAACATATGTCAGCTTACAGTGACTCAATCAGACGTCGTGTTTCACACTAAATATTTCAGTTTAACGTGTTGGTTTACCATAATTGATTCTGTTAATACCAACAAAGAGTTTAAATTTGGATGAATAAAATCCTTTGTAAAACGAAGTATTTTTATTTAAGTGTATTTGTATGTTAAGCAATTTTATCGACCATTATTGTCACTACATGATAACAATTATTTTAAACGTTATAATATAATATTATTATGACTAGATTTCTTTATTGAATACGAGTTTAAGTATAATATAAAGTTGTTCTTCAGTATCAGCATTTTTGTCAGTGATGAACAATTATTTAAATCGCCGTCTTATACTTTACTTAAACTCATATTTATATTAACATTGAACATTGATTAATTTGGATAATTCTACTTCAAACTGTTTACTACTGGAATGAACAATATATTGATAAAATTTCAAAATTCTATTTTTTGCTCCCGACGGAAATATATGCGTGTCCTGTAAGTACCTAGATGGTGTGGTATTGTCATTGTTCGCAAGTATCTTGGTATAGTGATCAGTTACAATTAAAGGACACGAAGTTATTTGAAGACAAACAGCCTTTTAAAGGTGATGAGAGGAATTATGAATTACGTTCTAAAAGTACACAAAACTGCAATGCGACGTCGTATCACAGAAATGTGTGAGCTCCGCAAGAACCTGCGAATTGATTCGCATCGCGCATCAAGATCTTATCTTCCCAAAATCTTGTTTCTTTTTCCTGTATCTCCTAAGCAATAACAGAAGCGCAACCTGCTTTTTACAGCCCATGTCACGTCCTAGTTTTCAATTTAAAATGCGTAGTATGGTTGACAGTTGTCGAAGGAATGGTCACCCTGAGGGACGCCTTGTCGCACGAAATCGCATCGCAGCAATTCGTACCTATAGTAATTTTTTGAGTTGCGAAATCGCATCGCATCGCAATTTTGTGTACGAGCCTTAAAGTAGTCAATTGGAACAATTGCGAATCATTGCAATTATGAAGGTAGACACTGTTGCACATGCTTCAATTGATCACTTGTTATAGAAGAACTTAGATTATAACGAGATTATCTTAAGACAATTTGATTAGTGATATAGTTGGGGGAGAAAAAGAAAAAAATAGTTATACATTGTAATAATGGTGAAGAGTAGCCAAAAGAAGTATTTTGTTTTCAGTATTATTGTTAACATAATTATATTCAGTAAACCTTTCGTTGTTATAAAAGGTTAAGAATGGAAGATTGAATGAATGGCTTAGAGTAAGTGGATATTCACAATGAAGTTTTAGGAGTAGTAAAGTCGGGTTTTTTATATTTTACATTACACATACAATAACATAATTATACAAGATTGTTTTACAACAACTATACGAGTAAATTTTACTATTAAAATTGGAATATTATTGTGATTTGCCGATATTGTAACAACTCGATGCTTTTTATTCTAGGAAAGTCCATGTGTGTCAAAACCGTCAAGTGTGATGTTATCTTTTTTGTAAATATTGTCATTATAGAAATCTTTCCCAGTTCAATCGCGTGTTTAAAAGTTTTGATGACATTTCGACAAAATATTCACTATGTTACAATACCGATTTGATCAGACACATTTCATTTATACTTCCAACAAATGTATACATTTTATATATTGATATATCATTATACATATGTATATATATTATATATGTAATATATAACTAGGTTTTGTATGTCCCTTAGTATTTATTAATAAAGCTTTCCGAATACAATCGATTTTATATAGTGGTAACTTTGAAATATAATAGAATATTAAAATATTTATTACATAGGGTCATTGGTAAAATCTAATATATTAACTAATTCACAGGGTTGTATTACTAATATCATCAAAAATAAATTTTGTTACAGTTTCTATAAAATATAAATATAAACAGTATATAATATCCAAAACGTGATACCCCGTACAAGTCACGTAGTATTTAATTCTTTTTTTTTCGAAATACTATTTTCGACATCACATTACAACTTATGTCTATTTGACGACAATTCGAATTTTATTCTTATTTGTCGTATACTCAAAAATAGACTACATTACAAACATTCCATAATATAAAATTTGAAAAATGTTTACATAAAATTATATTATTATAATATACTTTATAAAAATATTACACAATATATCTGCGTTTAAATTTCTTATAAAATCTTTGACATCGCATAATGTCGTGAAACTGTCTATTTTACGACAATTTGAACTTTGTTCCTGTTTATTGTACTTTTTGAAATAGAATTTAACATCCAAAAAATAAATTCATATATAAAATATGAACATTTTGAATATTTTTGGATACTGGTAAATGTGTATTTTATAAACATTTGAACCAGGTTTTTATAGTCATGCATTGAAAAATAGTCGACAGAGTATTTTATTAATAAGTAACAGCAATCAGCTCGTTTAAAAAAATATATAATATTTTTTTTATGTTACAAAATATTTCACAATATGTATGTCTCTAAATCTACTATACCTCTATAAAAATAAGTCGGGTTTTCCTTCCTGACGCTATAACTCCAGAACGCACGAACCGATTTCCACGGTTTTGCATTCGTTGGAAAGGTTTCGGGCTCCGTGAGGTTTATAAAATATAATACAAAAAAAAAAATGTTTCTTCATCTTTTAATCACCTAACGAAATGTTACTTAAAACGAAGCCATCTGGTGGCAAAATGGAGTTCGCCGGGTTGGCTAGAATTTTATAAATTCTTCTAAACCCAATACTATGTTTTTAATGTTTATTTCACGACAACTTGAACTTGGTTCCTACTTGTTATACATTTTGAAATAGACTGCAAAGCAAATGGTTTATAAGACGTAAAATATCATAAAATACATGTTATATATCAAACTTTAATACGCATAACCATGTCGCCTAGTATTGTATAACATTTCAGAATACTATGTTCGACATTATTACCATTATTTAATGTCTATTTTACGACAATTTGAACTTGATTGTTATTTGTCGTGATCTCCAAAATAGACAATACAACAAACATATTACAAAAATAGGTAATACGTAGATATTTGTAAATATATACGTGTATGAAAAATTTTATGAAGTGTATATCGTCCCTCATATACAATATATTATTTAAAAAAATACTATCTGTTGTGTACATCACAGTATGTCTATTTTACGACCATCTGAACTTAGTGCCTATTTGTTATGAGCTCTGAAATATATTACATAGCAATTTAGTTCGTATAGAACCCAAAGAATGTAGATATTATGTACCTATGTATTTAAATAAACATCACAAAATTTATATTGTGTTATAATTTTTTAACATATATCTCTATTTTTTCCGATTATGTACTTTAGGTCCTCGGACGTCTGTAGTCAAAAGTCTATTTGACAACAATTTTAACTTGGTTTTAAGTGTCGTGTGTTACGTAATAGACTGCAGAGTTCGAGTTAGGAAATAAGTTAAAAAATCCTTTGGAAGGGAATATATTTTACAGTACAAAATATTAGTAATCTATTATACCCAAGTATACAATAGATACATATAATATATATTACATTAAAATACATATTTCATAAAAAATATATTTCAATTGTATACAGTTTCTTATATACTTTCATATTAGATTATTTATATATATATATATATATATATACCAGTAAAAACATTATTCGGTACTAACAGTATTAGCGTTGTATGCTTCA